AGGTTTAAGTGTGGGAGAATTTGATAACACTTACTTTACACTTGTTTTTTACTCTGATTTCACATGTTATTTAGGTTTTTTATTATTGTTTTCTCGTATTATGCCTATACTTTGTTTCCTTTTAAGGTATTTCAATTATCCAGAGCTCCCCTAAAGGAATGAAGGAAAATAGGCTAAAAAACAGGAGTTTAGGTCAAATTTTGACTCATGGCGTCCACCATGGCGCCAGCCATAGGGTAGGCCATGATGTGGACCACCTCCTGTTGACCTCAACTGCCACGTTCCCCACTTCCTTTCATTTACACTCATGGAGGGCGCCATGGCCTCCATGGTGGGCGCCACCTTTGGGCGATGTTTTTCCCCCCAAAAGGAGTTGGGGGCATTCTTGTGATTTCCTGCATTCTTTATCCTCTATAAATAGAAGTTTCTGATTTCATTTCAATTCACCGAAGCTTAGTTGCAAACTTGATCCAACCATAATTGTGAACTTAAGCCATATAATTTCACCATTGTAAACCAATAATTATTCACATCGGGGAATTATTGCACTGTTGATTGAGTCTGTGATCGAGTTCGTAGATTGAGTCTGTAATCGAGTTTGTAGCACTTCGGCAGAAGTTTATCCTGCCACGTTTATTTTTAACTGTTGTTTATTTCCAGTCGCATTTTACTTCCAGTTTGTATCAGATTTAAAACCTCCCCGTTTGGAGCAGGTTTCTATTTATATTTCCCGCACCTGCTTTTACTTTGTTTATTTCCCACACCTGCTTTTACTTTGTTTATTTCTCGCACCTGCTTTTACTTTGTCTATTTTCCGCACTGCTTTTACTTTGTTTATTTCCCGCACCTGCTTTTACTTTGTTTATTTTCTGTACTGCTTTTACTTTGTTTATTTCCCGCACCGCACTTTAAATTATTTACTTTCTCGCATGATTTATTTTAACATGTCTGTCTACATTCCCATGTCAGGATGAACCTTACTTGGCTAGAATGTAAGGAATCTAGTTAGATCGATATTCTAAATAATGTGTCAATAGAAATGCTTATCGGCTATTTTGGTTTTTAATACGAGTTTTCTGTACTTTATTGTTGTTGGGTAAGATCGAAAGTCATTCAATTCTTTGTTAAACTCGGTTAGTTCTAACTGGTCAAAGGAAGCGAAAGTGCTTTGTCCGGTTAGTTAGGGATTTTTATTATCAAAGAAATCAATTTTGAAACTATTTTCGGACGCGTTTATATGGTTAAAGTTAGGTCCCCTTTTGATTAGAAATTCTAGATCAAAATACTTTTCAACTTGGTTAAATAATTTATTCCTTAAAAATAGGTTTATTACTTTAACGCAATGCGCGCCTTTTTATAAGTGACGATAAGAAGGTCTGATTAGAGAGTAAACTCGGTTCTGATTATGCGAAAGCGACAGTTCCTATTAAATTAGTTATTTTCTTTAGTAGAAAATATTGCCCTATAAGTAGTTCTATTCCAAAGCATTGCGAATATCATCTGACTATGTGAATTACATTCGACCCTGCTTATATATCTGAAGTTTATTTCGCCACACTTTACTTTCTTGATGCTCAATTCCCTATTTAATATTGACTTAGCTAAACACCATAACAATAGGAAACGATAGATTGACGATTGGTCTCTGTGGATTGATAATCTTTTATATTACTCTGACGCGATCCATACACTTGCCAATACACCGCATCAATTTTGCAGAGGTAGTAGGGCATAAGGAACCATGCTCCTCCACCTCCTTCCGAGCAGGCTCTAAGAGTCGTTTCATTTTAGTAAGTTCATTCCAAAGGTTTTCCCTTTCAAAAAGGATAAAGCCGAGTCGCTTTCATATATTCTCCCTTTTCATTCCCAAGATATATAGGGAAAAGAGTTCACCCTTGCCTAAAGCACCAACTGATAATATAATAGTTGCTCGGCGTAAGTGGTAGTATATCTCACCCATCACTTCCTTTCAACTTGACATAGTCATGAGAGAAAAGTAGGTATAATCACTATATTAGTAGTTACCCTAGAGGTCTTTGGTAGATAGGAGATTGGTGATGAGAATGAAGTATTGCATAGAATAGGAGGGTGGCACACTCTAGGTTCCCCCTATAGTTATTTTCTAGCTTTACACACCCTTATTTTGAGCCTCTTTGGGGTCTGAACCATCTTGAATATACCTCTTATCCTTCTCTTGTCTTGAAGAGTTATTGTTCACCGTCTTTAATGGAGGCTAGTCAGAAGCTTGAATTCCCAATTAGAATTATTACTATATGTTTTAGGGGATGGAGGAACTTGGTTCGTTCCTCCCTCTCACATAACTTCTTTAAGTTAATTCTTTGGTTTCTCATGATCTTGTTGTTGACTCCCTTGCTTGGTTTCCTATGCAGTTGCCTCTATCTTGTTAAGACCCTTCTTCATCATGATTGAATCATTAAGTATGTTCAAGTTGTTTTGAAAACAAAGAAAATAAGTAATAAATGAGCAATATGAAATAGGAATGTTGAAAGTCATACATAAAGTAAAAATGCATCTCCTCGCTAAATACCATATTTTCTCTTATTAATGGTTGCCTCTACCAATAGCCGTGTTTCTATGTACCACTTATTCTACTAGGGTTACTTACAGTCACAAAGACCAACCTCATATACAAAACTTAGGCCTTTGCAAAAGGAAACAAGCTTAATCTTAAAATCCTCTTCATTCACACCTAGATTGCAAGACTTGAAAACATGTGTCTTTGGAACCTTCAAAAAGTGGTTGTTCCTCAAGTACTTAGGTCATTTATCCATACACTTAGGACCCTCTAAAGAAATGTGACATGAAGAAAATCCCTATGGTAATACACATAAGTTCTCATGAGCCTCATGATTGTGGGGGATGATCAGGTAGTTTTAATCTAGAAATTTTTGAATATTTCCATATAGACTTCAAACATTTTTCTCACATGCCTAAAGGAAAGTTAGTCCTTGCTCCCGATCCACCGGGGTTGAGATACGTTTTAGATTAAAGAGGTGGAAGAAAAGTTTTATGGTGTAAGTGTCTCTCTTATATTCACACTAGTAGTGGAATGGAATACTCTTACATAAGCCTATTAAGACATATGTTGTTGCAAGGGGGATATTTTTAAATGATTCATAACCCCAACTTCAAACTCGTTGAAAGGAAGTATATATCCATTTCTATAAAAACAAACACTCATTGAGGGGTAATATACATCTTTTAAAGTGATTGCGCAATCATTTGTTAGACTATACTTGGGAGACCGTCCAGCTAAAAGATGAGTCTCGATGGCCATTTTTCATCTAATGTGCCTTATTGAAGACAAATGTTGTATCCAAGACGTCTTATTCCATCATGGGTACTTGTCTACATCAAAATGGAGCTTGAAATCTTGTTGTCTCCTTTGTACCAACTCTTTCTCAATTTCAACAAGTAGAAAATTACAATTGTCAGTTATGAAATGCGATCGAGACTCAATCCACCACCTAACTTCATCATTACTCGGTTACCTTATTTACACTTAAAGGTTTTAATACAAAAATGGGCCTTCGATTCAATATGGTACTCCTTTACCATCTTCGGGTTTATTATGGGGATTTTATGGAAAGCAAAGCCACGAAGAACTTCCATAATATCAATACTAAAAGAGTTAGCTCCACCATCTTCCTTCATGTCTATTTCAAGGTCTTCCATATCCTAAAGACCCTCTGAATCTTTAGCACCCTCTCTTAAGGTCCCCACAATGCCAAAGTTATAACTAATTTTTATAAATCTACATAAGAATACCTCACAACTAAAGGAAACACTTCCAATATTTCTGGGTTTACTACTCCAGTTCACGAAGAAGTGTTGCTTATATAATCCCCAATAGATAATTATATGAAAGAAATGTTTGGATTTCCTATGTTGTCCATAGCTATAAATGAACTGAAACAACTGGAGGATAGAGAAAGAAGAAGTTATCTCGAGAAAAGTGGAGTTTGAGTCGAAGGAACAAAGGAAAAATCACCAGAAACCTAGAAACACTGTGTAAACAAGGATAAAGGTCGAAAGAAAAAATAGAAGATCACATACAAAGCATAGATTATATGGAGAAATAGAAATACAGAACTTTATTGCAAAATGAATGAAAATATAAATTGATGATACTTGGCCCATTTTTTATAGGTAACCAGAGGTGCAAATTAGGGATGGAAATGAGTAGGTTTTGGGTAAAGTATTATAGTACTCGTCCCCATACCCACATTTTGAAAATTTTCCGGTACCCGAGCTCATACACGCATGGGAATCAACCTTTATACATGTACATGTACCCTATGAGAACCTAAGTACACGTACATGTACCTTTTACTCGTAGTTCTAGTAAAAAAATCTATCAATTAAAAAATAGACTTAATTAGAGGCCAATAATTTAACTTAATTTCAAATTTCATTTTAGTCCTTTATCTAATAAAGTTATATTTTAGTCCCTTAAAAATTGTTTTGTTAATCTAATTAGTCTTTTCCATTAAATTTTGTCCAAAAACGATAACATCTGCCTATGGGGCATAACAACTAGGCATTTGTTAAAATATTGAGTCATCATATATATTAAAAATTTTGATATTTTTATTTAAATAATAGAGGTTTTTTTCGGAGGTTAAAAACCCCCTCAAATTGCTAATAATATGTAACAAACAACACGACATTGTTATCACAATAATCAACAAATACCTCCAAAATAAAGTATTCACTCACACAATAGAATATAAAAAACCTTTAAAATGCAATGTTATGGTACCACTAATTAAAGCTACCATAAAAATTAAAGAATTATTACTCAACTATGTACCGCTAATTCAAACAATAAAAAACTTCCTCTTCTTTGAAGCTTCTGCTTTTCTCTGGAAACAACATCAACTTTTCTCCAGAAACAACATCAAATTATTTCCATTAATGTTCATTCCATCAAACTATGTACCACTGATTCTTCTATTTGTAGTTATTTCCATTAATAATCAGTTCATCCATGGAGTGATGAAATCTCTACTTTGTTTCAACCAATAACCCCAACATTCTTCTTCTAATGTCTTCCTCCCCACAACAACACCACATATGACCTTTACAACAGCAAAAAAAAAGTCAAAAAATATTAGAACAATATTATAAATTCGATCCAAACACAAACTAAAAAGAAACACAAACAAGAATAAAATCCATTTGCTAGATTTGAAGAAAATCCTCAAAAATTGAAACTTTACAAAAAAACACAAACAAGAACAAGACTCACTTATTAGATCTGAAGAAAAATCCATAAAAATCGAAACTTTAAAAACCAAACAAGATTTGAAAAAAAACCATAAAAACTGAAACTTTGAAACTCTGGAAAAATATCCATAAAAATTTAAACTTTGAAACTTTGATAGCCGCAAGATATGCATACATTCTTGTACTTGTTTCATTTTTCCCATATTTTTATAGTTATAATTGTTTTGGTGTTGTGTTGTGGTTATAGTTTGAATGGTAGTGGATATTTGGTTGATGATGAGGAGTGATGAAAATGGTGATGCATTTTCTTACTCTGTTGTATATTGTTATGTTTTATAGATTATTGATTGTCTGATATGATTGATAAAATGATGAAGAAAGAGGAGAGGAAGAAGAGAGAAAGAGATGTGACAACTAGGTTTTTGAAGAAGAGAGGGGAAGTGAGAAAGAGAACTGGAAGTGGTGGATACAATAATGTTAATAAATAAAATATTAATAAAATCTAAGGAAACAAAATATGTTTTATATTTAAATTTTAAATTTTAAATTAAATATGAAATAAAATAATTTCATATCATCCAACCTACCAACTGGCGCGCCACGTATACACAAATTAATAGAATTTGAGAAAAATTAATAAACAGGACAAATATGACTAACGGAATGATATTTAAGGGACTTAAAACGAATGTTTATTAAATAAGGGACTAACGTGAAACCTTAAATTAAGTTAAAGGACCAAAGGATGCATTAAGCCAAAAAAGTATCGTATCATTTAAATTTTTAACAAAATTAAAGAAAAAAGTTAAAGATTTTATTGTTTAATTATGAAATAAATGAACACTTATATCAAAATGTGTAATAGTTTAATTGTGATGTATTCCTTTAAAGAGATAGACATATATTTTTTATATGATGATATAAATTAAAATATATAAATATAAATTGTGCGGATATGGAGAGGAGTGAATACTAAGGTACTCGAACCCGCACCCGCGCCTATATCTGCTTATTGTAATGAGCAAATACTCGTTCTCGTGCCCATACTCATTTTGCAGATTTTTACCCTATCCTTTGTGGATATCCATTGGGTACGGGTATAATTTCATACCTAGTGCAGATCTACACCTAGAAATTAACAAAATACTAGAAGGCAAAATCAACGACTTAAGATAAACCTCAATTACATAGCTGTGTTGGTGTGCACTAAAGTGCTATAACGACATCATCACTCCCCTGCCTTAGGAGTAAGCATGGAAATAGGGCGAGGAAGGTTTAAGCATTATCATCCCCTGCCCAGCCTTCTTGCATCAACCCCCTCATAACCTCTAAACCCATATGAGAGTAACAAAATACCACACACCCCCATCCCCAATGGGCAACAGATTTCCATGCCCCTCCCTGCACCCATCCGCATAATTTTTATTTTATTTTTAAAATGCATGTTTTTTTCCATAGCAACAAAAACCAATAATTAAACTAATATTTGGTCATTTTAAGTATAGTCATAATACTTTGTCATTTTCATTTAATTCGTATTTTCAAAAAAAAAAAAGAATAATAATTGTAATAAATTTGATATCTTAATATTTAGAAGGGAAAATGAGTTAAGTTATTAAAGATAAGGGCAATAAATTAAATTTAATAGGATGGGGGAGGATGTGGGGTGGGGCGGGTACTATCATCATTCACCCATACCCATATCCCCATAATAAAAAATCGAGTTTTCCTCACCTCTCCCCCCATTAAATCGATTTTTCCTCCTTAAAATCGGGGTCAGCGGCTGGTTCTAGTTGGGTTCAAATATTTTTACCATGCCTACTTAAAAGCCTAGGGCCATTCGGAGAAGTAACACAGTGAAACATTTCAATTAAAAGACAAGCATTTAATGCACCTGTTTCGAAGGTCATTTGTGAAATTTTGGCAGGTCAGAACTCAGGTGTCATATGACATGTGTTGTACCCCAAAATTTTCTCTCTCATTTCTCAAGGATTCTCTCACAAGATCTTCCATGACATCAAGTTTGCAGCATTGATACATCAATTTAGGTTTGGAATTGGCACAAGGAGCAAAATGGTCAATTGCACGCTGAAAAATTAAACTTTGACTTTTGGATCAAAATCAAGTTTCAAGAATCATATTTCATCAAGACATGTTGAAATATGAAGTTTGTTTCATCAAGAAAATCAAAAGTCAATATTACTTTGGAAAAGTCAAAATTCTAAATACTTAGAAAATTTTCTAAGTGTTTAGGAAATATGATAAGTTCAGAACTTCTGGCCAGGTTTTCACCATGATGCAAGCTGATTATGGAAGAACTTCTGACACAAGAGTTATATATTTCAATGAAATCTAAAATATTGCAGAATAGAGCTTCTCCTGGAAATACTAGAATTTCAAGTTAAAAATCTTCAAAGACACGTCCATGAAACTGAAGCACTCAGTAAATTCTGGGCATTACCAAGATAGAATTTGGTCAGAACTTTTGGGCTAGTTTTCACGTAGGTTCAATTAGAGTTTGCAAAAGTAATTCAAAGAGGATCTACAAAGCGTGTTACAAGCTTTCTGGAAAGTCTGAGAACTCCTTCAGAACATGCTGGAGCATGGAGATTCAAAGATAAGAAGTTGGATGTTTGTTCTAAGTTACGCTGATGCTGAACTTATGATCTAGACTTAAGTTGTGATGCATAATCTCATATTGAAGGATTTATGGTTTGATAAATCTCATCATCATTTAATGCACACACCCACTTTTGAGTCTTTATCCAAAGGATTTCCCCACGTGTGGCATAGAAGTACATTGTTATCCTTGAAAAGCAAACTTTTGTACAAGTTTATGCTGGGCCCATGCTCTATTTTTGCTTCTGAGGGTACTTTTCCATAATTCATGCTAACAAATCCAGCTTAGCCACGACTAAAAGCTACTAACCATCCTACTTTGTGCCTTGAACCATACTTGTTTGAACTTGCTTCAAGAACAAGTCAGCGCCCTAGTGTATGATGGTTGTACTCTTGACTTCTCCAAGTGACAAAATCCGTGCCTATAAATTAAACTTCATTTGCAATAGTAAAGAGGTCGAGAATTTGAGAAAAAAGCCTTGAAACTTTGCTGAAATTTCACAGAACTAAAACCATAAACACAAAAACCTGCTAAGCTTTTGTTTCTTTTCACACCCAAACTCTAATTTTCTTGCACGTCTCTTGGCCAAATCACCCACTCAGTTTCTAACATACATTTAGAAACAATCCTTACTACTGTTTACAGACTGCAATTCCATCTCCACCAACTTCCATTTCAAAAATCAGAACTTAGCTTCTTGGTTGTTCCAGAGTTTTCCAGCCATTCATAGCTCAAGTTAAAGGTTGTTCCAGCCTTCTGAGCACGTGAGAAAGCTGACAAGAACACCACAGCAGTCAGAACTAGACTCTAATCTAGAACAATATACAAAAGTAAGGTAAGTTTATTTTGACTTTTACCTCATTACTTAGACATTGACAGGCTTGCATGCTCAAAAATACAATGTAGACATCCTGACTCTGATTTTGTACAAATTCATCAAATTCACGTATTTTTTGCCAAAGTAGAGAGAATCTCAGCTCAGAACTTCTTGAGGAAATTAGGATTTAGATTTAGGATTATAAAAATCATGCTTGTTTCTGATTTACAATTCTGATACTTTATGTTTCTTAAACCATGATGAAACTTGCCATAACTGCTATGTATACGTTTTCTGTTTTGTTGAGAAATGACTAAGTTGCAGATGCTCTGGTGGGCATGGAGAAGGAGATGAAGCTCATCATCAGAACTTACTTTGTAATATATGTTTATGTTTTTGCTTCTAATACCGGATGTATAGCCACCCCAGTGATGGAGAGCGTGTGCATAAGACATTAGTGTTAAGGGTCCTGAGTTCTAGCCCCAGAAACACCTTTTTATATTTATTTCCTGACATTTTTACCCCATTAATTGGACCAGATCTTATAGGTCATTCCCCTTTATTTGCTTGTCAAAACATTGATCCTACACCAGAACTTCTAGATATCCTAACCCAACAGCATTATCACCTCACTCTCTCAACAACCAGGACTTCTAGACTCCTTTAACAACCAGAACTTCTAACCTTCTAGTGATACTAGAACTTCTAGGTTTCCAGCTACATCATAACTTCCAGACTCTCTCAATAACCAGAACTTCTGACCTTCCAGTAACATTAGTACTTCTAGGCTGCCAGTTGCATCTGAATTCCTAGGATTTCCCTTGTTCCCAGCAACTCCAGAACTTTAGTGTACCCGGACCCAGAACTTCTGGCCTTCCCCTTTTCTGCTAACATTTTCTTTCTTGCAGCGTATCAGAGTCATAGTTTCTGCCCCTTACTTTTTTTCTCTCTTATGTCAGCAATGCGCTAATTCTGATTCTTTTCCCTTATTATTTTTAATATCACTTCTATTTTCATTAATCAAAAACACCAAAATATTTTTATATTCACATACTTTATTTTATTTCTTTTGGAATAAAAATACCAAAAAAAAATTCTTAAGCCAATTCATTTCTTCTCTTACAAAAAACAAAACAAGTCAATTTTACAATTTCTTGTACATTATTTCAATATGGTTGTAATAGATAATTAGGACTTTAATTTCTTGCAATCCCCATTTGTAAATTTGTATACCCCATCCCCCTAATGATTGTAATAGCGTAGAATATTTACCTTCCGCAATATATCGCTTTCATATAAATGCTAGTAAAGTAGGATTTGTATGGGAAGATAAAATCAACAAGTAGAAAACCCTTAATCAAAGACTAAATGCATGCAAATCAAACACACTACTCGCACATGCACCCCTAGGGTAATTACACTTGTTGCCTTATGGAAAATGGTCATGTTATGCATGTGAGACGTCTTAGCAAAACAATCAAAATACAAGATCATAGTCCCTCGATGATGCTGCGAATGTTGCCTTACAAATGATCTTAGTCCCTCGAGAGAAATGCTAAGATATCTCACAACATTGCTATCATGATTATACGATGACCCACGCCCTTCCCTTTACATCCAAGGATAAGGCTTCTTACGAACCAATGGTAAGATAGAAATATCAAAGGAAGAGAGAAATGAACAAATAGACTTTTGAGTAGGTAGAAACGTTCCTAGTTGCTTGCTCACTTTCAAAACAAACATCCTTGCAAACACACACCAAACAC